GACCTATTGGGAATAAACCCTAGGTGAAAGAATAGATGAATCTTCAACATTAAATAGCAGCTTACTTTTTTGCAGGCTTTAAAGTTTACAAAACAATTTTCTTACAACAAGCCTGTGAGTTAGTTGCTATTACATGTTATCATTTCCCAATTGACAGATTAGGAAATTGACTCTCAGAGAAGTGAATTGGCTTGCCCATATTTACTCACCTAGAATTGTTGGTGTTGAAAATTCAGTCCAGGTCTCATGTCTCTAAATCCCAGCACTTTTTTCTTCTACAACAAATAAGAGTCCTCAGAAATATCTCACCAAACTCTCTTTTAGAAGGACACCATTTGAAAACCACATATTTTTGCAACCTTATGTGGTAATTATTGTAGTGAAAAGAGCAATGATCTTGGTATTGAGAGACCTGGGTTCAAATCCTGCCCCTGACATTAATAGCTATGTGACCATCAGCAAGTTATGTAACTACCTTTAAGCATATTACCTCATCAATAAAGTGGAAGCAATAACACCTGTAGTCCTTTGCAGGGTTGTTGTGAAGATCCACTGAAATACAAAGTTATGGAAAGTGCTACATTGGTGTCAGTCAAATGGCAATGCTAACTGTTGCTTTTAGGCTTCATCTATTCTTTTTTAATTTAAAGATTGAATTTCACTGGCAAATGAACTTTTGTTCCTAGGTTTGTTGTCATTAGAAGGTAAAGAGAACTGTCACCAAGAATTTCTTGAATCTTTCTCTGAATTTTTTGCCCCACAGTCATCCTCATTTTTAGCTTGGACTTTGGAGTAGGCAAAATATGTGAAAGCAAAGAGTACTGTACCTAAGAGTCCTGGCTACTAGTACTTTTTTTTTCTGTAGATAAAAAAAGCTTCCCTCTGTGACATGGCCACAAAATGGGCAAGAGACCAAGTCTAAATTGGTATGCGATGCTGTTATAAGGTCAGGAATTCAACAGCCTTCTGTCACTCCAATTTCTTTTAGTTTGAGTTTGCAAGAGCAGAGCTACTAATTTTATTTTCTATCAGCCCTTTTTATATTGGCTGAGAAATATTAAGCGTTTTGTAAGCGTGGGGAACTTGGCTTCTGAAAAGTCCAGACAGTGAAAGTCCATCAATTAGGATTTAGGTAACCAACATTCATCTACTAGTTCATGTTTAAGTAGCATAGGGCTTTTGTTTGTTTGGTTTGTTTTTGTTCGCAAGATTTTTTTCCCACCACAGCCTTGTGAGGGAGGTAGTACAAGTATTATTACCCTTATTTTATAGATGAGGAAATTGTAGCCCATAATCAAAGTGACTTTCAATGGTTACACAATCAGTAAGTAGCCTGGCCAAGCCAAAAGCCTGGGCATTCTGATTCTTGAAGTTTAATATTCTTTCTACTTCCCTACCCTGCTTTTTTCATTTCCTCTGTTTGAGTAAAGAGTCAGTTACCATATTGCAAACTACATGGCAATATCTTCCATAGTTGAGTCACAGCTCCTGGTGAAATTCCTTGTGATATTCTAGTAGCATCAGTTAAATCTAGTGCCATTTGGTCTGAGGTAAAAAATGGTCTTTGAAAGCAACAACCCCAGGTGGTAAATCCAAGGAAACAGGCAGAGAGGCATAGTACAGAAAATATGGGGCAATTGGCTATAGATTTGCCGCTGAACAAAGCAATGTAAAATGTTGGATTCCATTCTTAAAGATCTTTAACAATAATCTTTAAACATCATTAGTCATGCTAGAGAAACCTTAAGCCTCTGTGGGATATCCCTACTGAGTGAAATTACCATGGACAGAAATGAATGGGCAAACAAGTTGAAGCCAATTCAAATTCATTTTCTTTGCCTGCTATTTTCTTGCTGGCTGATGTCAGGCATTCAGAGATGAGTAATTTCTTTTATATTGGTGTATCTTAGAAACAACTTCATTTGGGAAGCTAAACTCGCTGTTGGGACTGTGGTAGTTAAGGTCTTGTAGTCATAGAATCTTAAGTTAGACAGGGCCCCAGAGATCATCTAGTCCATTCAAATGAGGTAATCATTGTAAAGTGCTTAGTACTTAGTACTATGCCTTACACATAGTAAGCACTACAAATATCACTATTGTTATTATTATTAACTTTAAGGTCTTCAAAATACTGCACATATTTTTTCATTTGACCCTCATAGCAACCCTGGGCGATAGATGCTATTATTATCCCCATTTTACAGATGAGGAAATTGAGGCAAACGGCCATGAAGTGACTTGCCTAGGGTCACACAGCTAATAAGTTTCTAAGGCAGAATTTGAACTCAGGTCTTCTTGACTCCAGGCTGGGTCCTCTATTGACTGAGCCACCTAGCTGTTTTAGAGTTTTCCTATGAGTTTCCACAAGAGAATCAAATAACACATAATAATGTTATACAATAATATAGTAGCTTTGTGAAAGAGTCAGGATAGCATCATCTGGTGTACAGCCTTGTTTTTTACAGGCTCCCTCTTTTTCAGCTGACATCTCTTTTCCAAAATCTTCTCACCATCAGTTCTAGTTTTACCCTCCAACATAGCACAGAGATTTTACCCTTTCTCCTCTCAATCTGGTTTTCCAGTGTGTTTCACCCATTGCCCATGTGAAATGGTTTCCAGATTTCTTGCTGTCCTGCCTCAGTGCCCTCCTGGACACCTTAATTTATTCCTTTTCAAATGATACCACTTCAGATCAAACCAGCAAAGAGCACAATGGGGACAGAGACAGGCTAGGGTTCTGAACAGGGTGCTAGATCTGGGTGATACAGTCGAGTCAGTCAACCACTGGAGATAAAGAAACAAAAATGAAACAGCTACTCAGTGTAGGACATCTAGGTTCAAATCCTACCTCTGGTACTTAGTAAGTGCCAGTAGAAAAATTACATAATTTCTCTGAGCCTCAATTTCCTCATCTCTAAAATAGGGATGATAATAATATCTGTAGCACCTACCTCACCAAGTTGTTCTGAGGATCAAATGATATATATGAAACACTTTGAAAATGATTGTTATTATTGGTACTGAATGCTATTGTTATATTCAAGGAATCAGAGAGTTCATTAGCTTTCCTGTTGGCTCAAATTTGGTGGTCTACTAAACTATTACCAATTCATCATCCCCTGAAATTTTGACCTCTACATCTCTTTGGTTCTATAGTTGATTTTTTTTTAAACTCCAATGAAAGGTCTTACATTCATCCCTGATAAAAATCATTTTGAAGCTAGACTAACTCTTCCATCGTCTTAACAGTTCAGTTCCTTCATCACATCTCTCAACTCAGTAACCCTTCAGAAAGTAAATTCAGTTAGTTTGTGGTGATGATCTTAGTGAACATGTACTAGCTGCTAGTGAGATCACCAGATTGTTTTCTAAATGTGTACCAAATAGCTCTTTTGTCCTCCCTTTCAGAATTTTGCAAAGGATTGTCAAAGTTACCAGTTTGCATTTCTCTGGATCCATTCTTTATCTTTTTTCTTTTCTTTTCAAAAATTTGGGAATTTTCCCAGGTCTGGTCTTCTGAGACTTCTCCTGTGTGCCATGATTTCAAGGTTTATTGATAGTGTCTGCAAATGTCTTAAATCCATTGGGATTAGAAACAAAAAATAAGCAGAAATATAAATTCATTTTAAAACATCTACATGCTATCTTGCTGTTTCCTCACCCATCTTTGTCAAGCAATTCAATATGAATTTGTTCTTTACCTTCCAATTGAAAGATTCTTCATTTTGCTTGGAGGTGGAGAGGGACGGGAACACACATTTATTAAGCATCTACTACGTGTCAGGCACTAGGCTAAGTGTTTTCCAAATATTTCAGTTGGTAATATTTTGAATTTAAAATTTTGAAAGGCTCAATTTATATTGCTCCTATATTTCTAAGGTCATTATGGTATGTTACTAATGAACTTAGTTTGGTTTTGTGTCTAATTTATCATGCTTCAAGGATCTGTGTTTTGGGGGGAGGGGCAGGGTAACAGATACTCGTTTCACCAATGAAGATTATAATACCTCTACATCTTGAAAGTGTAGTGGATGAAGACTAGATTTGGATTCCAAGACTTGGGTTCGGATCTTGCTTCAAATGCTTTTTACCTCTATGACCTTTGGTAAATCACTTGATCATTTTCAGATCATCTGCAAATTGAAGAAAACAGTAGCACTTACCTCAGTGCTATGAAGATCCCATAAGATCTATAGGGAAAGTCCCTCATCAACCTTAAAGGGCTGTTTAAAAAGCAGTGATACTTTTTTATCATCATGGTCTCAAGTTGTTATGACTTAATAAATTCATCCCTCTACAACCAATCTGGTGATAAGCTCCTCCAAACTTCCTATGGCTGGTTCTTATAAACAGATAGCCGTTAGCTTATACTAGGTTCCTGCCCTGCTTGGTAGGACCTGTTAGAATTGGTGCTCTGTTGGCATAACCTCCAAGAATGCAGGGTTTATATTATGATGAGACCTAAGAATGGAATTTGAATGGGGAATCGTAGACATATGATCGTAGACTAGAGCCAGAAGGGGTATCAGAAGACGTAAGTCTAATACCTTCACTTGAAATATGAGTAAACCAAAGACATGAGACTTTAAAGTAACTACCCTTAGGGCTCTCAGAGGTAGTTACTAGTGGAACTAGGATGCTCTAATGCACAATGTCCATGTGCCATCTAGGTGGTCATAATTGTGAGGAAAGACATACTGACATTCGCCTTTAAATGTACCCAATTTTATGCCTCCAGGAGTTATGCTTTTTTTGTCTGTTTCGTTTCTTATTCATGATCTCAATTGTATCCTAGAAAAGGTAGATAGGTTACAATCTCAGTGAAGCCTACGTCATCTATTCCTTGATTCTATTATGTTTCAAGGTCGATACAGTTGAGTATTAATGTACATTGGTTTGTTGGGTTTTGTTTCATTTTGTTTTTTGGGGGAAGGGGGGTTATGTGTGTTTTCCTCTGCTGTGCATGCAGTAGACTAACCATCAGTGTGACTTTCTTGCAGATCGAGTCTGGATTTTTTCATGAAAGTGATGTGAAGATAGTGGCAAAGTCGATTCGAGACAGAGTAGCATTAATTCAGTGGAGAAGAGAGAGGATCTGGCCTATTGTGCAGTCCGAGGAGCGCCGGGACTCAGAGAGCCTCGATAAAGCCAAGTTGCCACAGGCACAACTCCAGGTTCAGGTCACGTACCATTCTCATGTTGGCCAGCAGACTGCATTAGAACCTGAGGAGCCTGAAGCTGACCAGCATCTCTTTCAGCCGAAGCTTCCCACGAGCGCCACATCGGTGGCATGTAAGTCTATTTCTTTCCTTTTCAATGAAAATACAATTGTAATATAGCAGAACCCAATTCCAGCATGGCTTATAATGTCATGGATTTAGCTATTTATGCTTGGAGTCAAATTGTGTCCTCTGAGACCAATATAGCTATTTAAAAGCTATGGTTTTTTTTTAATTTTTATTTTTTTGCAAAGGGAGGGCAATAAGAAGTTTTAAAAAATAATAACAAAGGGGCAGCTAGGTAGCACAGTAGATAGAGCGCTGACCCAGGAGTCAGGAGGACCTGAGTTCATATCCGACCTCAGACACATAACACTTACTAGCGATGTGACTCTAGGCAAGTCACTTAACCCCAGTTGCCTCACACCGCCCCCAAAAGGACCAAATAGTTTTCATGTAGTATATGGGAAAATGAAAGTTATTGTAAAATGGGGATTTGTAGCTTCTCATTATTAGGGAATTTAAAACAATACAACCTGTGTGCTTTTTGGTGAGGTCACAATAGGCTCATTTTTTTTTCTCTTTAATGTTCTTAGTACTGAATAGTAGGCAATGTAAAAAGGATACTGGACTTGGAGTCAGGAGACACCTGAGATTGACTCACATCTCTGGTACTTAGTTATCTTAGGCAATTCCCTTAAATTCTCTGGGCCATAGCTTCTTTATCTGTAAAATGTCAGTAACAGTGTCTCTAGTATTTAATTTAGCTTAATTTGTTTTGAAGCATATTGCAAACCTGAAAGATGTATAAATGTTGAGCAGTATATTAAACTGGAGAAAACATTGGCTATGAGAGGACATCTATCAATCATTTCATGATATGCCATGAAAAATGTGTTAAAATTAATCATCAGGCATTTATTAAGCTTCTACAGTGTGCTAGGTGCTGGAGAATCAAAGACAAAAGTCAACTAGGCCCTTCCCTTATGAAGCTATTTTTATCTCCTCTCCTCTTCCCTTCTCCCCTCGTCATATCCTTACCTGTGTGTACTCTGACCAAGGAGTGTAAATTTTGATCGCTGAAACTTCACAAGATATATTGGGGTTTACGGCTAGATTTCTTTCTTAAGGACCATGTCTTAAACCCAGATCACTCTGGCTCTCATTGATTGGCCAACAATAGGTCACAGCCCAAGTCGGGGGAGGGGGGTGTTATTGTTTTGGACCTGATTGCTCAGTGTGAACGTTGTGAATAGTAATTGTTTCTGTTTTGGCCAGAAACCCTGAAGTTCTCCACCTCTCATAGAGAGAGGTAACAGGAACAAGAACTAGGTAAAAGAGGCCATTCATTGCCTCATTTCTTACCTATCTTTATTCACTGAATGGGTGTTGCCTAAGTCAAAATTAGACGTGGAAAAGACCTTAGCTTAAAAAGGCCATGGTCTCCCACTGCATCCAGGGCCATATCCAGTCGTCCTGATCTATATCTTGCCATTGGACCCAGATGGCTAAGGAGGAGAAAGTGAGACTGGAGACTTTACGCAACCCTCCCTCACTTAAATCCAATTCACTTGCAGCAAGTTATGCCATCGCCTTCCTGATGCCATCCATCATCTGCTTCCAGGACAAACAATAAACAAGACAGTATGTACATTTGCAAGTGTATGCAAAATGGGTACAAGGTAATTGGGGATGGAGGGGACGCAGGCACTAGTAGCTGGGGGAAGATCAGGAAAGCTTCATGAATAAGGCATCCCTTGAGCTGAGCTTGGAAGGAAACAGAAATTCTAAGATGCAGAGAGAAGGAAGGGACTGTATTCTAGGCATAGAGTGTATAAATAATTAAATAATAAAACTAGGAAAGTAGGATTCAGGCAGGTTGTGAAGCATTTTGAATGCCAAACAGAAGCGTCTATTTGACTCTAGAGGAAATAGGGAGCCCCAGGAATTTAAGAAATGGAGTGATGTGATCAGTCTTGTGCTTTAGTAAAAATCATTTTGGCATCTTTTGGGGGGGGGGTGAGAGACATGGATTGGAGAAGGGAAAAACAGGGCAGGAATAAGAGTTCTAAGTCATTGAGGAATGGCATACCATTGAGTCCTTTAAGCACCTAGGTTTCTCCCAGCTTCTTCAACAGTACTTGTTTTCTTCTTTTTAGAGCATTCATTTAAAGTGAGAAATCAGTTGTGAATTGAGCATGCAGCAAAACTTATCTTTTCCAGTTTGAATTAGCAGGGTAGTGGTGAAAATTGAGTTAATTGTGTAGTTCTTTTTTTTGTGTTGATGTGTCTGAATCTCTTTGATTTGAATGTGTTTTAATACATATTGTCATCCACAATGACTTAGAAAACATAAAAGGATGGTATAAGATTTTCAAGTTACATAAAACACATTATTTTTTAAATTAATTTATTTTGATTTATCAACAATCACTTCCATATGCTTTTGAGTT